CAGGAACTGTGGCCTTTGCCCTCACAAGTGGGTAGGTAGCACCATGAAGGCAGAGTATGAGATTTATCTCAGTTTCATCAGCAAAGGAGCCCCAATAAATTACAGTCTGAGAGCAGAGGTCCTAACATTGCGTAACTGTGAACGGTATGGAGCCAAGCGTGAAAGCAACCGAAGGAGAGATCCTCTAGCTGAAGGCGTGTCATCAAAAACGGACACTCAAGGGGTCTTTCTGACAAATTGCTCCTTGGTGGCCTGTTGAGCTTGGACAAGCTGAGGTTGTTCTCAGGACTCTGTGAAGCATTCGGTCGTGCCTTAACAGCAGTGAGCACATGCCTCAAGGGCGGTGCAAGGGCATGCAAAGGTTTTAATCCATCTCCTTACTGGGAACATCTCCAGCGTAGCTGAGGTTGAGTTCATCTGCAGCCACCTCAGACATATGAAAGACAGGTCTTCGAGCAATTGAAACCTCTCTATTCACAGCACACCTGTAGTCTTTAAAAGCATAGAATACCCCGACAGTCGGACACCCTGAGAATAGTGGAGGTAAAGGAGGAACAGCTGTAAGTATCCTGGAGAGGAAAACACTCACCAATGACTTGTCAGAGCATGGGGATGCTGCCTTGTGCCTTGCCCACCCTGAGCCTGAGGAAGCTTTGGGGTGAAAGCACATACTCCAAGCCTTTTTCTGCTCTTTGCTCCTCTGCTCTGCTCAGGAAAGCTACTGGGGAAAGTAACAGCAGAACCAACATCCCTCCCCTAGATACAATCAGAGGGGTTTTCAACAACAAGGAGAAATCCTTACAAAGGCACCAGGGTATGGTCTTCCTGTGCTGGCAGTGTTTATGACAAGTCCCAGAAAATTCTTAACACTTTCTTCTGTTTATCCGGACTTCCATTTTTGTCACAGATTCCAGAGGAGCTGATCTCTGCCACATTTGTTAACAGTAGTGTCCTGATGGGCGACTGTTTCAGCTTTCAGAGTGGTCAAGTTATGGCACTCGATGGCACAGTGTTGTCTGGACAAGGCAAGATCTCAAGGCTTCAATAAGGGGAGGAAGAGGATGCAAGACCCAGCCTATCCTGTGCCAAGTGCTGTCTAACGCATTCAGACATGCTGTCCCAAACCATAAGGGTCTCTGGAAGGCAAGCGAAAGGTGTGTCCATGCTCCAAGTGAGCAAGCTCACAACCCTTCAGCACACTCTTACCCAAGGAGATGATGGGTGGGATTAAATGTATTGCCACCCCAACTAAGAACATGTAAGGTGCTGCACATGACAGAAGATGTGGACCAGGTGTCCACGCCGGCGAGAGGATGGTGTGGTGTCCACAAAGGGCTTGGAGGCTCAGAGGACCCCCAGGTATCTCCCCTACAGGGTCGACTGCCAACTCTCTCTGTGCTCATCGACTCTGCATGGCCACTGTGGCTGGGAGCTCTGGGTGGGCAATCCCCTCTGCGCAGCAAGCAGCAAGCCTTGATGCCAGGGACTTTGACCTGGGGAGTGGGCAGCAAGGCAGGGGCAGAGGCAGGTCCTCAGGAACAGGACCCAAGAGTCCTGGCTGCCAAACTGATCCCTGAGCCAGGAAGGGATGATCAGACAGGGCTCTTGTTGCACCCATCAGCCCTGTCTAGTCCTCTCCAAAAAGCCTCCATGTTTCCACAGCTACTTTCATAGCTAATATTGTCTACGACATTCAGGAAATAACTCCTGCAAGCCTCAGCAGCAGAGCTGAGATTCTTGGGTGTTGGAAATGCATCTGGCCACAGGTTTTCCATCTTTGTTCCCTGCTTCCCTCTGGGTTAACTCCTGTAGCAGGAGAGGGAGAAGGAAACGTTTCCTCCACGATCCTCCTTCTTTGACATCATCCAAGGGCCTCCAGCTCCATCCTGACATGGAATGTCCTGCTCTGACCCCAGACCATGTCACAGAGGAGCTGCAACACCTCCCTGATCCTTCCTCAACCTGCTCCAAATCCTGCCAAGTTTTGCCCTACAAGAGGGAGCGGAGGTGCGGTGGGTGCTGCGAGGTGCCAGCCCCACCTCACTGCCCACTCCTCAAGGAGAATGGGGTGGGCACTGAGAGCCATGGGGGTGGTCCCTAGATGGGGGCTCAACTTGTGCACTCCAGACACGCTGGTCAGCTTGTTGGTCCCAACTGGAGAGGCTGTGCCACCCCTGCTGGTGTGGGGCTGTGTACACAGTGACATTCCGGTTCCTGGGATACGGACAAGGCTTGGAGACCGATGCACACCGCAGCCATCTCCAGTACTGAGACAACGGCAGGGCTCAGGGACCCCTTGATGGGGTTTTTCTCTATGTGAGAGAGAAGCTGGAGTGCATGGAGCTCTGCTTGGGAATGGGGGATGAGCCAACTGGGAGCTTATGGATCAGGATTAAGGAGAAGACTGGGATGGGTGTCATCGTAGTGGGAGTCTGCTCTAGGCTGCATGGTCAGGAGGAAGACATGCATGAGGTCTTCTGCAGATAGCTAGAAGCAGCCTCACATCTGCAGGTCCTGGTCTTCATGGGGTGTTTTAACCACCCTGATATCTGCTGGAGAGACAACGCAGCAGGGCATAAGCAGCCCAGGAGGTTCCCAGAGGGCATGGGTGATAACTTCCTGGCATACATGATGGAGGAGCCAATGAGGAGTAGCACTCTGCTGCACCTTGTGCCCCCAGGAGGGGCTTGTTGGTAAGAGAGACTAATGCATTAGAAGGCTGTGCCACTGTTCCGAGGGAGAGCTGTGGGATGAGCCCCTCTGTGCCCAGGCAAAAAGCCCTACCAGGATGACAGCCAGGACCCCAGTCAGAAGAGATCAGACATTCAGACCAATGTAGCTCAATCATATTGAGAAATTACTCTGAGAAGTTGTCTCAAAGCACTACTGAAGACTGTCACAGTGATAGTTAAAAGGAGACCAAGAGGAAGGATCAAAAAGGGCCATTTATTGTTTACGGACACACATTTATTAAGACACAGGAACAGCTTGGTGCAGCAGCGAAGGGACCTGCTGTCAGGATCCTGGGCTGACATCTCACCAGGGAACAACCTTCCCCTCCCAGTCCAGGAAAGTCCCAGTGTCCTTCTCGGAGAGGGAGGAGAGCACCTGCAGCATCCCGCGCACGCTGGCGTCCACCGTCAAGGGGGCCTGCGGGGCAGAGGGGCAGAGGCAGCCTGTGCCCGAGGCCTGGCAAAGGGCTGCCCTGGAGCAGATCACTGCTCAGGGCTTGGGGCTTTCTGGAGTGAGTGAGAAGAAGCCAGAGAGGGCAAGAAGAGCCCCTGTCCTCATCTCCTTCCCTCATGTGCCTCCAGCTCTGGGTACCTGTCAAAGAGCTCTTCCAGAGCCCAGCATGTCTGGGACTGTTCAATTCACAGCAAGCTCTGCCTTCCCAAGTAAAAAGGTTCTTCCGGACCTTGGACAAAAACACTTACCATGTTTGATGGTGACCTCGTCATGTCGGTTTGCACCCAGCCAGGGTGGAGAGCGGCGCAGAGGACGCCGTGCTCCCGGTAGCCCAGGGCCTGGCACCGGGTCAGCATGTTGAGAGCAGCCTGCGGGGAGACAGGGAAGGGATGGTGGTGGGAGGGGAAGGGTGGCTGCAAGGGGACACGTGCCGACCCCATGGCTGGGACAGGGCATGTTTAGGGCAGGTGGAAACAGGTCCCCAGGGCACACAGTGCTGCTGCAGTATTCCCGTGTGGAAGCCCATCCCAGCTGATGGCCCATCTCGGCATGTTCTCCTGAGGTGGGACCCAGGGCCAGGCACAGCAACGTGCGGTCAGATGGACCCAGTGACTGACGGGAGCTCAGGGACAGCACAGAGAGGTGCAGGGACTGAGGTGGAGGTTGGAAGGCATGAAAGATCATTCGAACAGGAAAATGTCTGGGCTGATGCCCGGTGTAGTGTGGCACTACCTTGCTGCAGCGGTATGAGACACCAAAAATAGACGTCCTTAGTGGACCCTGCGTAGCTGGACACATTGATGATGGCTGCCTTGCTGCAGCTCAGCGCTGAGCCCGGGCTCCCTTGGGCAGCCTTCTTCAGCAGGGGCAGGAACGCCTGTGAGGAGAGGAGAGGAGAGGAGACAGGGGCACTGATGGAAGTGGCACAGGGAAGAGGACCAGCTCCTTCCACAGTGGGCAATGTTGGCCCCAGCACCGGACCATCCTCCCTCCTCTTCCCACTGCCCCAGACCAACACGCCCCACCCCATGGGTCCCTGAGCTTCTTGTTGAACAAGAGCCCCTCAGGCACTGGAGCAGAGCCAAGACCTTCTCCCACGGGTGCTTCATGCTTCCTGTGATGGCCCAGCACAGGGAGCCAGCACTGCGGGAAGGGATGCTCCCTGGAACCGACCTGCAGTGCTGCGGTGAGGGTCTCACCTGTCCCAGCAGCAGAGGCCCAATAGTGTTGGTGG